AAAAAAAAAAAAAAAAAACAAAGACCTAGAGGCAGGAGGGAATATGGCAGATATAAGGAAACCAAAGAAAGCTGGTGCTGGAACAGAGAGCAAAGGGCGGTATCGCAAAAGGTGAAGCTGAATGCATAGGTAGGTGCTGAGTCTTCTAGAACTTTTTAAGTCCATGATAGAGTTCTTTTCTTTATCTAAGATCAGTGGGAAGCTATTGAAGATTTTTAAGCAGGGAGTGTTGTGTTCATTTCTGCACTCTTAAAAGATCAGCTCCTACATGAACGATAATTTGGATTCAGGAGGTGATCAATTACTAGGTCTTTTCAGTAGCCCACGTGAGCAATGATGATGGGTTGTGCAAGGTAAGGGCAGTGATAGACAAAGTGGACCGATTTTAGAGATAATTAATAGGTAAAATCAACAAAACTTGGTTATAGATTGGATGTAAAGAGGGTGAAGGATTGGTGAAGGGTCTGGTGGAATTCCTTGAAGGCCAGGCTAAGTTTTGCATGGATTTGATAAATAACAGGAAATTGCAGTTCCTCTCTGAGTAGGGGAAGGCTGTGCAAAGTTAAAGTTTCACAAACTTCATGCAAAGTTTGAGCATAACAAAGGTTACTCTCTCAGCAGCCTGGGGATAAACTGGAGGTGAATGAGACTATAGGCTGTTGCAGTGGTCCAGGTGACATGATGAAGGGCGAACTAAACCAAAGCATTTCTGGTGGGAATGGAGAGAGGTTGAGAAGATAAAACACCCATTGGAGGAGGAGAGGATAGATAATAGAGCATGGAGGCTGTTTGGTTTTGGGACAAGGGAGGAGAGTGAAGAGGACCAAGAACATCTCTTCCTTTTTGCAAGATTGTGCCTGTCTCGCATGACATAAAACTCAATCAGCATTTTGACTCTCACCTTTCTCTGGGGCAGCACCGTGCCCTGCTGTGGTAGAAGAAGCCTTGGGAGCTAGCATGGTCCTGTTTCTGCCACTGACAGGTAACATTCTTCAAGTCCAGGGTAAAGCATTGCAATCCAATTGCCACTGAGGTCAAAGAGGTAAGTCCCATCAGGGCCCATGTGCTCCTACTCTATAGGGTATCTAGATTATTTTCAAATGCATAACTTAGAATATTTACTCCTATTCTCTCTTCTGTCTGTGAATATAGTTCATCCTTCCCAATGTCAAGTTTAAGGCCATCAGGAAGGACCCTGCTTCTCTGAGAGCCTCCATATCCAGCCAAGCCTCCCTAGAGATTTCATTTACTCCTATTCTCTCTTCTGTCTGTGAATATAGTTCATCCTTCCCAATGTCAAGTTTAAGGTCATCAGGAAGGACCCTGCTTCTCTGAGAGCCTCCATATCCAGCCAAGCCTCCCTAGAGATTTTTTTTTTTTTTTTGTGGCTATCTGGTACAGGAATCTGAACCCATGACCTTAGTGTTATAAAGCTGTGCTCCCTAGAGATCTTTTTAAAAAATCTCTTCATCTCCCCATTTCTTTGTTGGCTTACCTGCATCCCTAGGCAGGTCTGTAGTCACAGGGAAGGACCAGGATCCCCAGGAGCCACGAAGGGAGACCCCATCAGGTTGGCTACGCAGCTGGAGCCAGTAGGAGTTGCCAGGCTGGAGCCCTGAGATGAGGCAGCTTCCACCCATCACTGTCAGAGATGGAGCCTTGGGAGACAAACCCCAGCCTCAGAATCTAGGCCTGCCTCTCAGCCAAGACAGCCTCCATCCCTTATTTTGAAGCTCCACAGCAACCCTGTGTAGAGGAGCTAAGCTCCTTACTGGATCAACAAGCACGCAGACTATGGGACAGGTTGGTGGGTTTCAGGTGGTATTCAGGGCTTTTTAGGGAAATGGCCATTAATTTGGAGGCCTGAAAGCCCTCAATTTTATCAGTGAGAATAACGCAAAGTAGGTGAACCCTAAATAGACATAGCTCCTAAGGGCTAATCAGAGCCTATGCTAACTCCCCAAGGATCAACCCAGTCTGGAATCTACAAAGCATGGCCTGTCCTTTCCTGGGGCAAAAATGGGGGTAGGGGATAGGAAGTGGAGCAGAAGAAGGCCAAAATACTTCTCTAGTTGGGAAGGTCTGCTTTGCTCCATCCTGTTGAGGCACTGTGTGCTGAATACATGGAGGCTGGTCCAGAGTAGGGGCTGAGTTTGGCCTCCGTAGAGCGGGGCAGCAGGTTTCTGTGGAGATCAGCTGCATGACTGTGGGACCAGTGGAGTTCTTGGGATCCTTGGGGCCATAGCGGAGCTCGTACCTCAGGAAATCATTGATTTCAGGAGCTGGGGCCTCCCAGCTGAACTGAAGTTCCCCTGGCTGGCTGCCACCTTTGGCCTTGATGATATTGGGAGGAGCTGGTAGTCCTGAGGGCAAGACAGGGCACGTTAGAACTCTCTGGGTGCATAGTCTGTGGTTCAACCCATGAATGGTAGAAAGTGGTGCTGGAGGCTGAATTGGGGACAGCCTATGGTTCAAAAAGATCACAGACCATCATTCTTCTGTAGGGCACACTGGGAAGGCCTCTTATCCTGTTTTCCTTTCCTCATAAGAACAGTGACCTCCTTACAGTATATGGTTTGTTAGACTCAGTGCTCCTCGAAAGCAGGGATCTCTTTTCATGTCTGTATCCTCATCAGTGGGAGGACCAGGGCATCCCTGTTGTAAAATGATTTGTAGGATAGTATATGGTTTGTTAGACTCAGTGCTCCTCGAAAGCAGGGATCTCTTTTCGTGTCTGTATCCTCATCAGTGGGAGGACCAGGGCATCCCTGTTGTAAAATGATTTGTAGGATAAGTCTAGCTCTGGATGCCAAGGTTAGGAGAAATGATACTGGGGACTCGAGGTGCCTCTGGAGGTGTGATAAAGGGGGCATCTATGCTGTCCTGAAAAAGCACAAATGAGTCTGATTCTTGGAGCTGGACTGGGGGCAGCAAATAGAGGGGGAAGGTGACAGGAGGAAAGCCCTTACCCACACTGTCCACAAAGAGCACTCGCTGAGTCTGAGTCTGGTTCAGGAACACATTCTTCACCCAGAGGTGCAGTGGAAAGAAGAGGCGTACTTCATCCTGGGCTGGAAACTGGCACACATATCGGGTTCCGAAGGGGGGCATGCTCTGGGAGCTCAGGGGGCAGGCACGGGGCTTCTCCCTGTTGGCATAGGAGAGGTCCTACCTACACCATGCTCAGCCCTGAAGACCCAGGTCTGTTGCCCAGCTTGTTTCCATTACTGCCATTTTTCCTCTCCCTGCTTGGGATAGGTGGGATTAGGGTTACATAGGGGCTTGAACTGGGGCCCACATACATCCAAAGCACCTCTGTTTATAAAGTAGTGACTTAGAGCATGTATTTGGAGGAGTCCTCTAATAGAGCCAATGACAGGGAAGCTACTAGAGTGGGACTTACCTGAGCCAAGTACAGGGACAGATATATGGGGAGTAGGATACAGCCCAGCACCTACCCTGAGTAGGCGTAGAGCAGCTGGTAGGTGCCATTGGGCTCTGCCTCTTCCTCATCCCAGAAGCAAGTGAGGTCTTCAAATGTTCGGGAGAAACAGTTCAGGGTCTCTGAGTCTGAGGCCAGCAAGGAGACATCTGAGGAACAGCTGGTGCATTGGGCTCTGCGTCCTCCCATGCACGTTTATGGACAAGAGTAGGGGACCAACAGGAGCCTCCTACTACATCCCCTCCCAGGGCTCCCTCTTCCTGGGCATAGGTGATCTCCACCTTCTATACACCTCACCTTGGCTGGTGACTTGTGCCAGGGATTGGGGGGCCAGGAGGAAGCAGGAGGTAACCATGAAGAGGGCCCAGGAGGGCATCTTCTCCGGCACTGTGTGCCTGCCTTAGCCCATCCTCCCTTCAGGAAGCCGGGCCCCAATCCCCTCCCGGGCCAGCCCCTCAGGTTCCTGTCAGATACAGCCCCACGTCCTGTCCCTGTCCCTGCCCCTCTGGGGCCCATCCAGACCACACTGGGGCCAGGGGCCAGGGGAGGGGGAGTGGGCAGGAGGGTAGGAGGAATTTGAAAGAGAGGACATAGGCCTTTTGGTGGGAGGGAGATGGGGGTTATATATTTGACTGAGCACCAAAAGGAGAATAAGCCTCCGTGTGTGTCTATGTCAGCTGTTATAGAAGGGTACAATCTCATAAAGAATAGCGACCTCGGGCCGGCCCGGTGGCGCACTGCTACAGTGCGCCGCTTGGGAGTGCAGTGGCGCTCCC